AACCTAAAAATGTACAGCCAATTTTGCAAGAGATGCAGCCTAGCTCAGAAAATTGTTATTGAATATGTCAATGCTGATGTAATAAAGTGCTTCTTCTACGTATGTGGTTATTAAATAAATAATTTTTAAAATTTTTGTTTCTTTTTTTTTTTTAATGTGTATGAGTGTATTGCCTGCATGTATTTAAGTGCATCCATATTGTGCAATGTCCACAGTGGTCAGAAGAGGGCATCAGATTCCCTGGAACTGGAGTTTGGACTGTTGTTAGCCGCCATGTGGGTGCTGGGAATTGAAGCCGGGTCCTCTGCAAGAGCAGCCAGTGCTCTTAACCACTGAGCCATCTCTCCAGCCCCCTCACTTTATTTTTTGAGACAGGGTCTTACTGAACTTGGAGCTCACTGAGCTGACAAGGTGTCCACACAGCACTGGAATTACAAGTTCACTACTGCACACAACTTTTTCATAGGTGCTGGAGATCCAAACTCAGGTCCTCAAACTTTATGCGGCAAGTACTTTTGCAACTGTGTCATTTCCTTAGCCTGAGTTTTTTTTTTTTTTTTTAATCTTTTTGAGACAGGGTCTCCCTGTAGCCCCAGCTGGCCTGGAACTCACCTTGTAGACCAGGGTGGCCTCGAACTCACAGAGATCCACCTGCCTCTGCCTCCCAAGTGCTGGGATTACAGGTGTGCGCCACCACGCCTGGCTAGTTTTTTGTTTTGTTTTTTTAAAAAGCACTCTTAGCTTTCTTTTGATTTTCATCCCATAGCATGAGTGTTCCTTATTCAGAGAGGTTTGACAGCCAAGTGTCCTTACAACATGTACTTCAGGATTCATTTATATGCGGCCCAAACCTTTTCTACTATGCTGTTTAAAAGGCATGGTAAGTTAAAGGATCTTTTTTAAAAAAATGTTGATTTGTACATGAGGGCAATGGTATGAACCTCAAAAACTAGAGCTGCAGGGCCTGTGGAGTTTGCTCAGTTGATAAAGTGCTCACTACATAAACATGAGGACCTGAGCTCAGATCTCAGCACCCACATAATAAGTCTGGCACAGCACAGGCTTGAAATCTCAGCACCGGGGAGATGGAGACAGGAGGATCCCTGGGGCTTGCTGGCCAGACAGCCTCGACAAATCAGACAGCTCCAGGTTGAATGAGAGACAGTGTCTCAAGTGATTGAGAAAGACACCTGACATCGACCTCTGTCCTCCATGTGCATGCGCATACACACGAATGTCTAGTCATTTACAGCATTTGCTTCGATGCTTGGGGCAAGCTGTTAGCAAACAACATTGATGTCCATGGTTTTCCTCAGTGTATCTTAGCCTTCAGTACAAGAAAGAATTAGGAGTGGAGATTGTTGAACCTGCAGTCCTTGCTGAGCTCCACCTATAGAGACTGATGCTGCAGATCTGGGGCAAGGTGCAGAAATCTGTGGGTTGACCAAGGGCTTCTCAAGAATCTGTTGCCCCTGCTCTACATATTTCATTCATGATTCTAGTTTCACAGAATTTGATCAACAACGCCTCATCACTATTTAGTAACTTTGAGAAATAATTATGCATGAATTATTTTTATTTCATAGGAAATGAAGTTTAGCTCTATTTAAATTCCTTCCAGCTTCTCATTTCCCACCTCATCACCATCTTTTCTTTTAGGGAAATCAGCAATTCCTAATGCAAGCTAAGTGTTTAAGATCAATCTGTCTACTGTTCACACGGTTGGCCTGGGCTGACCCACAGGGTTTCTTCCTCCTTCTGTTCCTCCACACCCTCCCCTACTTCCATTTTTCTCTTTGCTGCTGGAGATAAACCTAGCCTCCCACATGCTAGGCAAGCACCCTTTTACAGAGCCTCACACCCAGCCCTGGGATTTTTCTCTTTAATCCAGCTTTACCTATAATTAGTTCATTCATCACTAGCAGCACACCCAGGCCTAGAAGCTTAAGAAGAATCCTGTTGTTTATGTGTTCCCATCTCTGGTATCAGAGAGCTTTTCCTGTCTCTGGTATCAATACTTGACCACAGGTCCTAAAGCTCATAAGAGGTGCCAGGCATGGTGATACATGCCTTTAGTCCCAGCACGCGGGAAACAGAGGCAGGCGGATCTCTGTGAGATTGAGGCCAGCCTGGTCTACATAACCAGGCCAGCTGGGGCTACAGGGAAACCCTGTCTCATAAAGACAAAGACAAACAAACAAACAAAAACCTAAAGCTCATAAAAGGAGTTAATACATATAGACTTGCCTCCATGGTCACCAAGCACAGGTGTTGGCAAGAAGGAAAAGCCCTCAAATGCATGTGCCACCACACCAGGCTCTGTTTTTTTTATATATTTTTTTTACTCATTATTTTTACTTTTATGTGTATGAGTGTTTTGCCAGCATGTATATAATACACCCATGTCATGCAAGACCTGCAGAGGTAAGAAGAAGGCATAGAATTCTCTTGGAACTGGAGTAACAGATGGTTGTTAGCCACCATGTGAGTGGTGAAAATTGAACCTGGGTCCTCTGCAAGAGCAGTCAGTGCTCTTAACCATTGAGCCATCTCTCCAGCCCTGTGTTCCTGTTTATTGTTTGCCCCCAATCTTCATCTAGTCCAATCCCTTTTCCAGATAAAGATATTGAGATGCAAGATAACTTGCCTGAGTCTATAAGCAGAGGGCCCAGATCTGACATTTGGCCTATTGTCACAGTACCAAAATTCTCCCCATCACCCCACATTACCCCACTCTTACAGCATGTCAAATCCTTGCATCTTTCCAGTTTACATCTTTCTCAGAATTCTCTGCCTGCAACTCTATGTATACAGCAGCCGCTCCTTATCCATGATTTTACATGAATATCTATTTTACGTGGTTGACCCACAGTCAACCACGACCTGAAAGTATTAAGTGGAAAATCCCAGAAATAAACAATTGATAAGTTTTCAATTGCATTCCATTGTGAATAATGAGGTGATTTCTCACCCTGTCCAGGTCCTCCTCCCCCAGCATTTGAACCCTCTCTTTGGCCTGAGTATCTGTGCTGTATATGCTACCCTCCCCACCCACTAGTCACATAGTCATCTCAGCTATCCATTCAACTGTTAAAGTATCACAATGTTTATTTTCAAGTAACGAATCCTTCACTTAACAATGGTCCCCAAATCCTGGAGTAGTTAGTGGTGCTGCAACTCTGACATGCCAAAGAGACGCTGTAAGGTGCTTCCTTTAGGTAAAAAAGGTGAAAATTTCTTGACTTAATAAGGAGAACAAAAACAAACAAAAGATAATCCCAGGATTTACAGGGTTCAGTACTATTCCTGGTTTCAGGCATCCACTGCAGATCTGAGTATGCATTCATTCAGATAGGGGCACATGGGGAGTGGCTAATATAGGCAATGTTTTCATCAATAAGTGAAAGCCCAGCAAACTTCCAGTGACAGTACAATCAAGGCAAGAATGGTGGTGGGGTGGGATGGGAATGGGGAAGAGTTCTGTGGCCAACAGAGAGACAGACATTTCCTCCAGGCATCGATATTTAGTGCTGTCCCCACCACCTTGTCCTCATGTGTACAGTGGAGTAGGGTCTGGACACCATCCTCCCTGTTCCCCACACCCACAGCTCACAGGTTTGTATCTCCATTTGTGTTACAGCCTTTAAGGCAGTGGTCCTGATCCAGCAATGGTACCGCAGCTACATGGCCCAGCGGGAAATGAGGTGGCGATGCACTTGGAGCATCTTCTAGTCTAGAGTATGTTGGGCAGCAAGACCAGTTTAAGGTATGTGGGGATGCTGTCAGGGAATGGGATGTGAGCTCTGCCTGACAGCCCTTGCAGCAGACCTGGTGCTTGAAGGTGCAGCTGGTCTGGACCACTTCTGGGCTCTCTCTCTCTCTCTCTCTCTCTCTCTCTCTCTCTCTCTCTCCTTGTTTCTAAAGCTAGCCCCATCTGGTTCATCTATAGCTCCATGATTTCTTCAGCTACCTCGTGGATTACTTTACCCCCAGCAGCCACCAGGAGAGTGAGTATGAGTCCTCTTTGAACTTCATAGTGTCAAAGTGGGTGGGGCTGCACAGATGGGAGGACTGGGAATCTGGCAAGAACCAGGGAATGAGTGAGGTGGCTGACAGATGAATAGCAGAGTGGGGTTTATTCTAGGATCTACCATAAACATACCTGGGGACAAGAGTTTAAGGGCAAGGAGCTGGTTTACTAAGTGCAGGGCACACTGGAGGTGGGAGGAGCACAGAGGGAAGCAGGAAAGTGGAGGATAGGCTGCTAGGTAGCATCTTGGGAGGCCTGAGAAATAGCGCAAAATGAAGCCTGAGCTGATGCACCAGCGGGCACCTGGCCTGGGCACTGGTGTCAGCACCACAGCACTGGCTGAAGGCCTCTGGGAGCAGGAGGGGAGGCTGTTGACTCCACAGCCTTTCTGGCCTGACACTCATAGCCTCTGCAGTCCAGAAGGGAAGGCTGGACCAGCAGTGTCTGACAGCTGGAGGAGGCTGCAGCCTAGGGTGCATGAGCCTCAGCTGTGCACATTGAAGAAGGTGAACACCTGGGAACTCTTCTGCACTGGCTTTCCTCCTCTCATTTCTGGACCTTCTCTGACTGATCTCCATGCATCTTTTAAAGTAAAAGTAGATGATACCAGCTAATGATTTTTTTGTTTGTTTTATTGAGACAGGGTCTCATTCTGCCATTCTGGCTGACCTGGAACTTGCTGTGTAGAACTCACAGAGATCCTCCTGCCTCTGGCTCTGGAAGGCCTGCGCCACCACGCCAGGCCAGCTAATGATTTTACAAACACAGAAACACAACCTTCTTCCTGCGCAGCCTCTTTTATCTCTCTTCCTTTTCCCTTTCTATATCTGGAGCCAGTCTGTACCAGACTGGCCAGGTCCTACCACACACAGTCCTAGGAAGACTGTTCCTTAGCCAGCCGGCCTTTGCCCTCTGTGTCCGAACTAGGGGACTTCCTGAACCGCATGTTCACCCAGGAGAGATTCACCCAAGACACGGAGACAGTGAAGGGTGGTGACTATGAATCCACTGAGGTACTGGACAGCTACACGGGACCACACCTCTCCTTCCCCCTCCTCCCTGACCATGCCACTGCGCTGGTGGAAGCTTTTATACTGAGACAAGCAAGCTGGCCTGGGAGCCTTGTCTCCACCAACCTTTGTTCACGTATAAAGGCAGACCAAAGCATATGAGGGAGAATGGCCCTGGGCTTAGGGTGTTCCCACCACCTGTTAAGAAATAATGGTGCTTCCCCTTTGGGAAGCCAGGCCCCTGTGGTCCTTCAGCCAGTCTCTAAGATTGAAAGCTTGCTCTTCCTTCATTCATCCAGCGCATAACTAATGAGCACTACTGTGAGGCCCATACTGGTCCTGGCACTGGGGATGCGGCTGCCCTCATGCAGCTGACATTCTAGTAAGGAGGCACACAGTAAGTAACAACAATAAATGAGTCAGCATGTGGCACTGTAGCAAGTGATAAGAGCCTCGAAGAGTGGGCAGGAGAGGAGACAGAGGTCAGCAGAGAACTTCTGAGCAAAGGTTGGAGGTGTGAAGATGCACCTGCAGATGTCTGGCAACAGTGTTCTAGACAGAGAGAGCAAATGGAAAGGCCCAGGCAGGAAGTCTGGGGCTGTTCAGGAGCCTCAGGAAGGCTACCATGGCTGGGACACAGAGGAAGAGTAGGACAGGTGAGGGGGCCAAATTCTATTCTTCTAAAAGAGACAGGAAGCACAGGACTAATGATCCAGCTCGATTTTTAAAATAGTCATGGTGGTTGCTATGTTGAGGCTGGAGTGCAGGGTTGAAGCAGGGACTTGCCAATGGACAATGGCAAAAGATGATCTTGGCCTGAATCCCTGATGGCAGAGGTAGAGCTGATAAGTGGTCAGAGTCTGAGAAGTGCTCAGATCTCAGTCCTTTCCCTCTTGGACATGCCAATAGCAGTGTAGGGGAGTTGGGATGATGCTTCTCAGTAATGATCATTCTGCACCGTCAACATATATCCATCTGCTTATTCATATTTTACTAGTGCAGTTGTGTACTGCTCCCAAGCTAAAGGCAAGGAAGGTTTTAAAAAATATTTTATTATTTTTATTTTATGTGTATGAGTGTATTGTCTGCATGTGTGTAAAGGCACCCGTGTCATGCAATGCCTGCGGAGGTCAGAAGGGAGTATTGGAACTGGAACTGGAGTTAGGATGGCTGTTACCCACCATGTGGATGCTGGGAATCAAACCTGGGTTCTCTGCAAGAGCAGTCAGTGCTCTTAACCACTGAGCCATCCCTCTAGCCCCCCCCCTTTTTTTTAATTCAAGGAAGGGTTTTATAGACTAGATAGGAAAGAGAAATCAGTTCAGTGTTTACAGGAGGGACAAATGGGGATGATGAAAAGTAGATAGGAAGACGAGTGTAAAGGATTCACAGAGAGAGCCTGGGAGCAGTTTACTAGGGTTACTTTGGGGTCCTGGGTGACTGGGCACTCACCAGCAAAGGTGGAGGCATCAGGTTTGTTTCGTTTCCTCCCTCCTCTTCCACCTAGTAGCAGCTCCATGCTCACTATGTCTTGAATCTTTTGTATGAGACCAGGAAACACCTGGCACACCTGCCGAACATCAACCGGGTCCCGACCTGTTACAGCGAGGAGATCACAGTGTGTGGTGAGTGCAGGTGGGAGGTGACTTTCTATGCTGTACACACATCAGAAAACCCTGTCATAGACAGAGGCCAGGAAAAGGAGCTGGGTCAGAGGGAGACAGGACAGCAAGTGAACAGGCCAAATATCACTCCTTCAAACTGACCATTTACGTATTTACTTAAAGGAGAAGTGATTTAGAAAAGGGGAGCTCTGGAGTCAAAGTCTCAGCCTCTGTTTTCCCAAGCAATTCAAAGGGACTCCAAGTTCATACTCTGTATTAGCTGCTTCTCTGTTGCTGTGATAAAACATCCTTACAGAAGGAAGAGATTATATGTCTTACAGTTCCAGAGGGATAAGAATCCATCACAGTGGGGGAGGCATGGCAGAAGGAGCCAGAACCGGCTGTGAGCTCACATCTTCAAGCAGGCACACATGAAGCAGAGAGCAAAACTGGACATGTAAAGAGTCTGTGAACTCTCAAACCCCACCCCCAATGACATGCTTCCTCCCACAAGGCTGTACCTCCTAAGGGTTCCATGACCCTTCCCAAACAACACCAAACTGACCAAGAGCTCAAATACTTGAGGCTATGGGAGACACCTCATTTAAACCATGGCAGGTTCCCCACTGAGAACAAAATTCCTGCAAGTAAAACAAAATAAAAACACTTGTTAATTAGACGACAGTATATTTCTAGGTAGTTGAGCAAACTCCATGGTCTATAGAATTATCATTTACTTACACACACACACACACACACACACACACACACACACACACACACGGAAAACCATTAAGGCCAGTTCTCTCCATCTGCTCAGAAGTACCCATGTGGACAGAGGCCCACACTCCAGCCAAGGGAGACATGGACTGCCAGGGGTTGTAAACTGGCACAGTGGATATCTTACTCATCCTGCAATCATCTTAAATTAAAAATCAGTGTTTCAATATTTGAGAATGAGAGGATTTGATGTTAAAGTTTAGATTTTGTAACTTCTGAAAAACCTCCTAACACTGGCCCATACATGAGTGGCAGCTTCCTACTTTAACTGGGGCCGAGATCCCAGATCTCATCCTTAAAATCCTTCATTGTTCTGTCCCATCTTTGCTGCAGTAGTAATGTAGGTCCTTTACTATTTATGATAATCATGCAGAAAAACATGTGCCCTGCTTTCAGTATTAGCTATATCTACAAT